AAAACTTCTGTATATGTTTTTATATATTGGCTGAAACACAAATATTATAAAAGTGCATTCATTTGAACTTTGTGATTACAAACAGTGAAAAAGAAACAAACAAAAAATACAAACAACAACAGAATTTCCTTTATTAGAAACCTTTAAACTGTCGGCCAGGCACCAAAATTCAGCAGAAAAACTAAACCGCAAAAGTCAAAGGCAAGAAATGAGACGCTAACGCAGTGAAGCCGAAACAAAATGCAAAATATGATAATGCAAAGTCAGAAATGTTCATACCTGGCACATAGTGGCTTCAAACTAATGCTTTATCATCATGTATTTGTGAACTTTCACAGGCTGATGTATGTGGAACATGTTTTATTCCACATACATGCGGATTGCTCGATGGCTCATCCGCTCACAGGACACGTCTCAGATTATTTAAAGGTTGCTTAATAAAATTCGGTAATTTCAGCGAACATATTTCTGTACTTCTTGCGGACGACCACTGTGGTGACTCCCTTGACATCTTTCAGTCGGTCAGAGTCAAAGTCCACCAGCAGCTTCCTCACCCCAGTCCTCATGGGTGAGAAGGACACCACAATGGACACCGTCTGTCCTGGAGAAATGTCCTCACTGGAAGAGAAGATGCATGTGTTCTTCTTTATTTTGTTTTTTACTGACTGCTGTATTTGTGCCTCAGTGCCACATTAAAGTCATCAGGAATAACCTACAAGGGCAGTTTATTACAATCAAGCCACTGGTTCACACATGGAAAAATCCCTGTTCAACGACTGGCCTTTGGACCAACTCTGTCCTGGCCCAGAAAAACCATATTATTACACTGAGGGATCCAAATGACCACAGCGAGTCCCTACTGCGCTAGGCAGATTGTAAAATACTGATACTTTTAAGTGATTGAGAGGGCTTCTATAAGTATATACTTATAGTCTCTATGTAACAACGCCCACCCACGCACTCATTTATCCCACATTTTCCCAATGTTGGACCCATGCCTCATTCTTCATACACGCGACAAGCTTTGCTTTGTGGGCTAAACTTTTGTTCTAAACAGCAGACCCATTACTTACCTAACATGGATCTTAGTGGAAGAGAGTAGGCCTGCACCCTCCACAGTGAACACACCTCCTTTCAGTGGAACTGGTAAGGGATTGGTGAAGGAGATGGAAGCTTTTACTTGTTCACGAACAAAAGCCTTCCCAGGAACCTGGAGAAAGAGGAGAGCGCTCTGTGTTCTAGAACGTCTGAAACTGAATGTCTACAAGGCTGCGAGTCAACTGCATTCACAAAGAGTTTTTACTGGAATACTGATTTTCCAAAGTCTTCCTCTGACGTGTTCCCTCAACACAATAATAACTGAAAAGACTCAAACCAACACTGAAACTAGTAAAAACTAAAGTGAAAGATTTTCAAACAAAAAAACCTGAACTGGGACAAACAAACCAGCTCTGACTTACAAACAAAAAGTTAAAACGTGTTAGAAAATATAAAACTATAATAACCCGGTGACCCCTACAGGTGTTCCCACCTGTATGAAGACGTCAGGTCTGCTGAGTGGGATGTCAGTCACAGTCAGGAGGGGCTCGTTCTCGCCTGGAGCCTCTACGAATGCTTTCACCCTGATCAGATGATCGTCTGAGACACACTGGGCATAGTCATCGTAGCGCAGACGCAGCACTTCCTGCTGAGCTGATAACACACAAACACACAGCATCAAACAGCATCCAGCTCTTACAGAATTACAAGAGCAGCTGACATGTTACTTCGTAACATGTCAGAGCTCATCTAGGCTGCTGACCTTTGTGAGCAGGCACCATCACAGTGGTGGTCTGCCTCTGGCAGTTCCCCCGATAGAGAGAGCTGTAAGTAACAGCTGTAGCCAGCATGGTCAGCTGGACGTGAGCATCCTGGTCTCCTTCATTCTTCACCTACTGACAGAAAGACTGTGTCATGAATTCAGGTTTAGTTCATCCACTCATTTAGCTGCAGTGTGAATAGTCCATACCTCAATAATCACATCAAAGTCTGTCCCAAACACAGGCTTGGCGTGCTTGATGGACAGCTGCAGTCGTCCTGGTTCTGAGCTGCCACTCAGGACGTCTGTCACCCGACGCCCCGCCTTCTCGTACACTTCTCTCTCCTTCTTGGATCCTGTGGAGAAGAGAGTTTTCATGAAGAACTGCCATGAACTCATGTAAACGTTATTTATATGCTCCTGCGTGTGTTCTGCTTTCCAACTAACCTTCAGGATATTTGTATTGCACAGTGACGTCGTCTCTGAAGTCCCCGTAAACACTTTTGGTGCTGATGTTCCTACCCACAGTGGTCTGGTCCACTCTGATCTGTGGAAGTCGGAGAGACCATTAGAAATGATTATCTGTTATAAAAACATGTGTGTGTGTGTGTGTGTGTGTGTGTGTGTGTGTGTTTACAGCTTTATGAGTTGGAAGGTAGAAAAACTGACAAAAACAACACATACTTTCCTCCGTTGGCCATTTCTCTGAACGATCCAGTGGATGATGTCAGCGTTCACCTCTGCAAACACAAACGGAGCATCGTACTTCACTCCCAGATTTCCCTCCTTGACGGCCGTCACAGGGCACGGACCACAGCAGAAAACCCCTGAAGCACAAACGTCCATTTATTTAAAAGCATTTCCTGCATCAGTAGAGAATCACTAAGTGACATCAAAACACTTTTAACAATTGTTATTCAGTTTGATGACCACCCAAGTCCACCTGGAACTAAGTTTTGACACTCAGGAAACAGCTGTGGGACTTTTCTGAACTAAATAAGGTTTTGAAAAGTATTTTTTTCAAGTGGAAGTCAAACTATCAACATCTTTGTTTTAGCTCTAAAGAAAGGCAGCGGTGACAATCCTCACAGCCGTTCATAACGATGAAATACAGAAATGAGTTTACACAGAAAAGTACCAGAAAAACATGTGGACTAAAACATCACACGTTAGGACCGTACCATCGCTGAGTTCTTGAGGGGTGGGATCTAAAACCTGCCAGCCATCATTTCCTTTGGGGAGGTCATCTCTCCTCATCCAAGACTCCACCCAACAGTGGAAATTCCTAAAACCGTGAGGACGGAAAACGTATCACCTCCCTTTAGATAATGCCATATTTGTGTATTTTTTCTGATCGTAGGCGTTCCTGTGATCCTACCAGCTGCTGTCTCTCCCTCCTCTGCTCTCCAGTGGTTGCAGGTTTTCATCCAACAGGAAGTCTATAGAGAGGTTTCCATCGACATCATGAGCTGAAGAGAAGTTGGTGATGAGGCGAGTTGGGATTCCCAGACAGCGCAGCACTGTGAAAAGATCACACGCTCCAACTGAGACAAATGATTTGTTTCTACATCCGATGTTGTGAATGTGTTTGTGCTGAAGATCTGGAACGATGGAAGTAGTTTAAATGACAACTGCTACAGAAGGGATGCTTTTAAAGGAATGATTCAGCTATCCTTGAATGCAGGGAAGTCTGTGTTACCTGTACATGCAACAGCAGCAAACACCCAGCACTGGCCATATTTCACTGCTCTGACCCCAGCTTTGCTCCACTGACGGAGGATCGGTGCGCTGCCGGTCCACCGGTACGGTGCAACTCCATCAGAGTACGGCTCAGTCCAGCGCCCAGTCAGCACTCCTCTGTCATCATTAGAGTTCACCTGCAAGAGTTCACCTATCAGACTCAGGATCTCTGCTGTGGCATTCATGAGCTGCAGAGCATGTTCATCATGTGCTCACACAAATGAAACCAAATGTTTTCCAGCCGTTAACATTATTTTCAGCCGAAGCCAGAAATGGTTCTCACCATTGCAGTGATGATCCTGCTGACGTAGACGGGGTCAAATCTCTGCTCAATGTCCATCTGTGAGTCTCGCAGAGCATCGCTGGAGTTATTCAGGACTTCAAAACAGATGTCCATCACATAGTCCTCAAACTGCAGGAGAAGGAGAATGCCAGTGAGAGAGGCCATAGAAGAGCGCCTAAAACCAGGAAAGGCTTTTCAGGAGAGATTTCCTGAAGAACCTTTTTCTAAATACTAAATGTTTCCCATCGGCTGCCCAGTGTGTGCAGTAGGGGAAATAAGTTTTGGATTCTGTGCTGATGACTTTTGATCCTCAAGAAGATTATAACTTAGTACTTGGTGAAGAAACCCTTTCTGACAACCGCACATGTCAGGGGGGATTTTGGTCCACCCCTCTTAACAGAAACACTCCTTCAGGTTTATTGGCTGCTCCGTAGCAACTCAAGGCTTCAGCCCCCTCCACAGATTCGTATTATTTCCCCCACTGTACGTGTGCATCTGTTACACCCACAGTCTGCCTGTTAGTCATCCTCTCTGCCCTCGCAGCTACCTGTGAATGGGTGAGCCTTTGTTTGTGTGGTCTGGTTACATTCTGACACATCGCATCCAGATGTTTCCTCCAGACAACTGACAGATTTTCTGATCCAGCCAAAGCCTGAGAGTCTCTGCCACACTGCTGTGACAGTTCACACCAGCCCCCTGCGGTAGGACTCGACTTAAGCGGTCAAAGAAGTGCAGGAGACTGATGCTGTCCAGTGTAGCGAGTGATTTATTTTGTGACCCAAATAATATTTACAAAGAAACAAATAAGAAACTCAACTCTATAATTAACTCAGTTCAAATAAACATAACTGAACTTAAATCAGTGGAAATTAAGGTCAAACTGCACACAGCTACACTGACCTGGACCTTTCTCTTGAAACACCTGAGTTCTTCTGCTTAAATCGTCCACTTAACCAAACAATTTCTCCTCTGGACTTTTCCATTCAGGAGGTAAGATGAACATGATTATATTCAAACCTCTACTGCTCCTCTTTACTGGCAACATAAACTCTGTGGTGGAATCAATACATATTACAACAATAAATCCATTTCTTCATAAACCCTCTAAAACCAACTTTATTAAATGATAAGAGTTCTTCGCCTTCTGCACTTGGTCTCTTCCTGTGACCTCAGATGAACCCAGAAGCTATAAAGCAGGAAGTAAAACTACATTTTCTTCCTTTTGTTTCTGGAAGACAGGTAGGTAAGGTAAGTCAGGATACATATGATGGGTCTATCGGTAGTGTTTGATTGGGTCCCGGCTCACTATGGGGTAAGGGGGAGTGAAGCAGCGGACAGGTTAGCAAAGGCAGCCACTAATCATGAGATAGTTGATCTGGCGGTGAATTTTGGTCAGGAGGAAGTAAAGAGTATTATTAAGCTAGAAATGAGGGGTAGATGGCAGAAACAGTGGGACGACGACAGGAGGGGAAGGTGGTTATATAAAATTCAAAGGGGGGTGGGAGTGAGGAGATCCACAAGAAGGAGTAGGCGAGAGGAGGAGGTGGTGTCAAGACTGAGATTTGGGCATATGGGTTTGAGTTCCACACCGTTCTTGATAGGGAAGCATGCCTCAGGGAAATGTGATTGTTGTGGAGTGGATGAAACTTTGGAGCATGTTGTTTTGCAGTGTCGGAAATATACGGTAGAGAGGAGACGGTTGGTCCGAAGTCTCAGCAGCATTGATATGAAACTTGATGTTGCAGGGTTACTACAGAGGGAGGCGGGAGATAAGTGTTATCAGGCATTGTTTCAGTTTTTGAGAGAAGTAAGGTTGTTTGGGAGGATATGAAGTGTTTTTTGTTTTGAGCGTGATTTCGGTCCACACTCCATAGCAGTGGTGGCGGTAATGCACCATGCAGTTGTTTGCCAACCGCCAATAATACGTAGAAGAAGAAGGTAAGGTAAGTTGTAAACAATACAAATTAACAGTTGAAATGAAGAACATGTTAACTCAACAAACTTGTAGGGATTGATTTAAACGAAGATGTTATATTACAGCGGCCCCCGGGCCTCGGACCGGTACCGGTCCGTGAGTCGTTTGGTACCGGGCCGCGAGAGTTGAGGCTCAGGTGTGAAATGTCTGGTTTTCAGGGTTTTTATCGGTTTTCAGCGTTATTTTGTTATCGTTTTGATCGTTAACTCGGTTTTCCTGGGTCTTTTCACGTGCGTTATGAATAAATTTTCTTTTTTTCGGTACCGGTACTGGTTTTATTTTGTTATATTTATCCGCGACACCTTAAAGGCCGGTCCGTGAAAATACTGTCGGGCATAAACCGGTCCGTGGCGCAACAAAGGTTGGAGACCGCTGTTATATTATATAATCTGTAAAAGTGCAAAACATAAACAAACCTGGGATAGTAGATGTTTGCCTGTTGCAGACTACGTGTGAAATATGGTTAAATCAAAATAATAAGAATATAGACAAATGGTCTTCTCGCCCGCTTTGTCACACCCCACTGGGCTGACACACAGATGTATTCAGCACAGTCACACTTTAAATGTTTGTGTGTGTTACCTGTCCATAATTCCAGTGAATGCTTTTGATGTATTCCCAGGTCCCCATGTAGATTATTCCTTCTTCATTCATGATGTACTCCTGAAGCTGAGTCTCGTCAGGCAGATACACCACATCATCTGGTAAACGCATAAAGACCACGACAGTGTTGCTAATAGGAAATCTTCAGTTGTAATCTGATCATTTTGCTTATTGTGGAATTTAATTCATCGTAATCGCAGAAAAAGCAAATGAAACTCCGAGTGTGTGAGTGGCTTCAGTCTGACCTGCTGAAGCAATCAGACACACAGAGAACGCACACTTTACCTTTGCACCAGGGGTTATAGAGCAGGTGGAAACTCATTTTGTCCTTTTTCTCTAAAACGCGTCCGTCCGGTGACATCAGCAGCACAGCCAGACTGTACTGGCCAATGATAGCATCTGCTGGACTGTGCAGAGTCAGCAGCATTTCATCTTGTGCTCCCTGCTGGTTAAACCACCACTTGTCCCCAGCTCCATGCACCTTCTGAACCTTGATCTCCACCTCGTCTCTCTTACCTGGTGAAACAAACAAAGCCTTCTGGGTCAGAAACAACAGCATGTATGGAACAGGTGTTCAGCTTTACACAGCAAGTGATGGTTATAAATCTGAACTGTTTTAATGATCAGGAGGAGTTCAGTGTTGGGGATCAATAGACTTATGTCTGTGAAGGTTCTCAGTCATCCAGCTCATCGTAGTCTAAGGAGCTTGCAAAGAAAAGTGTCTGGACTTCTTTAAGTTGCTTGAAGACGTTTCACCTCATCAGGGGGTCCTTTTGTCCCTCTGTGGGGGGAAACTCCCACTAGGTTTAAATCTGGGACTCTCCACCATTTGACCTTAGAACTGAAGAAGCTTCTTGGATGAGAGTTGAAACGTCTTCAAGCAACTTAAAGAAGTCCAGACGCTTTTCTCTGCAAGCTCCTTTGACGATCAATAGACTTGTGTAGACCCAGTTTTGCTACATATAAAACTTAAATTTAAGGTAAAAGTACAGTCTATTGTACACACAATATTTACTAACAATCAGTGTTTGTGTGTGATTTCTTCTTTTACAAAGGTACAAACAAGCTGTGTATAACTGTATAAATATACATTAAAACCAATATTGTAACTTGTTATGTAATTAAGTCAATTTGTAGTTGAAATTGAGACGGCATAAGGAAGGACGTACAAACTGATACTGACTTATTAATGAGTTACAGTTCTTATAAGGTGCTGACTGACTAAAGAAATCTTCCAAAACAAGATGCTTTCTTTGCAATGTTCCCCAGAAGACTCGAGTTTAATCTTTTCTATCTTTACAGCTCCTTCCTGGTCAGCCTGTACTCACCGAGGTGCAGGACTAGATCCAAGTGGTGTTTGGGGGGCAAAGAGCCATTACACTGCACAGTGATGGAGAAGGGCTGACCCCTACGGACAATCAAGCGCTTCTGATCGATCTCCCTGGTGCGGTGTGCCGAGTTGTTCTCACGACTTCTCAGATCCACATCACTAATCAAACCTAAGACAAACAGCAGAAAGTTCAGACATCGGTCATGCACTGATATCAGGCTTATAGAGGTTTCTGTCATATCGCCAAATAACACATTTACAGACTTGGGAGTTTCAGCTTTTTTTAAGCTGCGAGATTGCTCAGAGTCAAGTCCATGATCATAGTCAAGATGTACGTCGGCTGTGCTGCTCTGCCTATGATTTTTCCAACTGTTGATTTTTCTTCCCTTTAAATCAGATTATTGACAAAGTGTTAACTTTGCATAATCTGCAAAATTACACATATTTGTTCTCAATGCGTAGCTGCCTTCCTTCCTGTCCTAGTTTTGCTCAAAAGCTGTGAAAGCCTTCGGTGGGGACCCAGGACGAGTCCTGTAGCACCCAAATGCTGATTCACCCGTCAGCACATTTCTCACACATTAAAATCCAAACTAATTCTGTACTAGCAGTAATAGCTGCAGTCAGCAGCAGACGTTCACTTGCCTTTGTGGTTGGCCATTGTGAATATCTGCTCCAAATGTCTTCACGCTGTCTCAGATTCGTGCTCGATGTCCACCGGGCTCATGTATTTATACTCTAGAGAGGACTTCCCACTTATCTGACACACACTCACCCCCCAAACACTCGGTCATGCTGCTTCTCCTCCCTCTGTGACCTCTCACATACCAAAAATTACACTCCTCTGTGGGTGTAGGCATGAGTGAAAGCTTCAGAGGCTCTTTATTATCTCTCTTGAGTCTTTAGTCATTGTAACAAATAGAACGAAATCAAGAGAAAAACAAGAATATAAACTTCATTCTGCACATTTATAAAGAAATAGCGACTCACGTCGACCAAAGCGCTGAACAAACACAACGGAAACAAAACCCATCAAATACCAGTCAGAGTGGGCCGAATTATAACACCATGCAAAGAAAGCAGAAGCCAAAGCAGATGAGAAAGAAATCTGGTGCTAAACAAAGATAATGAAATTACAGAATATATCGAAGCTGTCAGAGAAAGAAGGCAGACACAGGTCTTAACCAAATATAGGCCCAGTGACCCCAAAGTGACACCAGAACAAAGGTCAGGATCACGTGCCCACTGGTCTGGATACACGTCTTTAAAAAGATGTCAAATCATGCACTCGTACAGGCGAACTTGTAAGTTGTTGTATGTAACTGGTCCTGCGCTTTATCTTAACGTTTCTTACTCTGTGATCTGAAGTTGAGCTGAAGCAGGAAGGTCAAAGTTGGGTCAAAGAGTCACAAAGTGGAGGTCAGTTTCCCTTTCTTGAATTACTAAATACAACTTTAGTCATCTAGCAAATGTCCACACCCAGATTATTCAAGAGCAGAGTGTCTGTGACTCTGAACAGTTATCTATATTTAACCCATACACCAAATGTCAGCACCTCTGCAACACTGACACGCTCGGACTGCTGAATTTTAATGTTCAAGTAAAGCTGAAAAATAGCTTTAAGCTTCATGCTGCTGTCCTAAAAAACAGGAAACCACTATTTATAATCATTCTAACGTATTTTAGCTACACAAGACCTTTTGCCTTATTACCGTTATTGGGCTCATCTCGGACGGGGATGAGTCTGCCTACAGGAGGGAGGTTGAACGTCTGGTGTCCTGGTGCAGCCACAACAACCTGGTGCTGAATGCCCAGAAGACAGTGGAGATTATTGTGGACTTCAGGAAGCACACAGCCCCACTCCCCCCCATCATCCTGACTGACACCCCCATCACCTCTGTGGACTCATTCCGCTTCCTGGGTACCACCATCACCCAGGACCTGAAGTGGGAGCCCACCATCACCTCCGTCATCAAGAAAGCCCAGCAGAGGATGTACTTCCTGAGGCAGCTGAAGAAATTCAACCTGCCAACACGGACGATGATGCAGTTCTACACTGCAATCATCGAGTCCATCCTCACCTCCTCCATCACCGTGTGGTACGCTGGAGCCACTATCAGGGACAAACAGAGACTGCAGCGTGTTGTGCGCTCTGCTGAGAAGGTGATTGGCTGCAGACTCCCATCTCTGCAGGACCTGTACACCTCCAGGACACTGCGGCGTGCAGCTCGGATCTCAGCTGACCCTTCTCACCCTGGACACAGTCTGTTTGACCTGCTCCCCTCAGGCAGGAGGCTCCGGTCCATTCGCACCAGAACCTCTCGCCATAAGAACAGTTTCTTCCCCTCTGCTGTTGGACACATGAACAATAACCACATGACTGTCCCCGCCACTAACACATGACCCTACGCTGTGTCACTGCATCATTCCATGTTGGCACTGATCACCACCTGCACTCATGTATATCTCATGCATATATCTTTCTACGTAGCACTTTAATTCTTATTCTACTTTTATTTTTTCATGTCTATTTAAGTGCTATTTATGACACTGTTTGCACTGAAGCACCGCAGCAATTTCCTAATGTTGTAAACCTGCTCAACATTTGGCAATAAAACCCTTTCTGATTCTGATTCTGATTTCTGATGTAGGATTTAATTTAGTGACTTAAGTACACTGAGTCAAGTAGATAGTTGTGATAAGCTCCCTGAATTAGATAAGCGAATAACACTATGTAAGGATGGAGTCATGGGATAAAGGAGGGATTCATGTCAGAATAACCACAAAGAATATATAGTGAGGACTAAATTTAGACTTTAAAGTTATAATATCTGATGCTTTTGGACAAACTGAAAACAGACTGAAATCATATAACGTTACGGAAAAGGTGAGAAAATAACTCATGCACATCTGTACACATATAAATCCAATGTTATTGCTGATGCTAAATCTTCCGGTGTTCTTTGAGTGGTCAGTAAGTTGTAATTGGTGCAGGGCGGTGGATGACCTCTATGAGAGGGAACGTGTGCTTTGAGCTGCTGATGTAAACTAGAAAGAGACAGCATCACTCTGACGAGGACTGATTCAGAAGCACTTATGTTGCAACGTGTTTGTAAAGCCAGACAGTCAGATTTCTCTTTTAGAGCCACATCAGAACCGGCTCTTTTGCTGTCACAACAACACGACGGTTTCCTCACTCTGAGCTTTTCCCGTCAGCCTGCTGAAACAGTGAGGCACACATCCAGAAATCTTGAATGAGTTCAACACGTAGTTGAAGGAGGTTAAGAAGAGTCATTTGTGTTTCGGGGGTTTCTGCAGTTACATTTTGTCGAGTCAATAAAGGTGCTGGAAAACGTGGACCCCGTCCTAATCTGCTGATGTAAAACAGTCTCTGTGACTTTGGTTTGTAATGAAGAAACTGAATGTGTTGGTGCAACTGGAGCGCTTCCTGCATTGTGTTAGATTTCTCAGTGCCCACCGAGTGTCTGTGCCTGATAATGAGGTCTGTGACAGACTGAGAGCACTGACAAAGCAAACACAATGAACACAGTGCAAAAAATAGCCTGAGGTGTCACTACTGTGTTAGAAGGATGACGCACAATGGGAATTCGTTTTTTGTAAACTACACACACTTACACACTTTCACTAACACTTATACAGTATTGATATTCAGTACTGAGTCAGTTAAACATGTGCGGCCACTTGACTCATTCGTTTATGCCCGGCTCCATCTCATTTACAGCTGAAAGCGCAAATTTGATGGAAATATCACCAGGACATATCAAAATTTGATCTGAAATCTGTTGAGGTTTCAGCAGCACCTGGTAGTCCAGACTGGGTCGTCATTTTGCTGAGTGGAGCCAAAAAACAGCAGAAAATCCACTTCTTAGATTTAATATGTTTGAATGGACTTTTTCATGAGTTCTCCACCAGTTTAGAAGCTTTTATCTCTTTAATGGAATTACAAGGGCGCTGGCCTCATCTGACCTTGAAGCTTCTCGCCACTAAACTTCATCCTACTCCTTTTCGAGTGCACACATTGTGTAGACATAGAGATATACATGAAAACTTAATGTTGTTTAAAGTTTTAGTTTGTTTTTTTTGTTTTCTCTTGTTATTTCACTTATATTTGCAAGTTCGAAATAAAATTCTATCTATCTCTATCTCACTCATTGCCTGATTACCTCTGAGCCTCTGACCATGTACGCCCGTTCCTGTAAATTTAAAGCAGTTTATGGAATATTTCTCTTACAGCGCTTGGATTAACGCTTAGATTCTGCACTGCAATCGCATTTTAATTGTTTGATGTAATATCCACAGCGATGGTGAACAGAAGCAAAATCCAGACTGAGTTACAGGAAGACATTGTTTGTCTGATGCTGAACTGAGGAATGCTGGGATGGTCATGTTCGGGAAACCAAGGTCTTTAACTGACCTCAGTGTCCTGATCACACCAAAGTGTTATCAGAGTGACACACTGGTCTTTCACCCAATTTCAGCACAATTCTGTGGAAAACCCCACTGCTAAAAAGTTTAAAAAATCTTTTAGACCAGTTTAACTTTTATTCAAAGGACAAATTACGACGTTTATTAATACACTGATGCTTTTAAAGAAAAAAGTCTCCTAGATATAATTTGTCCTTTTTAAAATATACAGTACGTACACAGTACATTCCCTGCTTCATGAAGTATTTCTCTAAGATGAGTCTGAGACAGAAGATGTTCCGGCGTGAGCATCAAAGTGCATGCAAATGAAACTTTAAACGAAACTGTGAAAATGTGCGATGGGAAGAAACCCAGAATAGACGAGATTTGAGCTGAGGTTGTGTGGAGTGACTGCAGACAGCTGGATATTTCAGGAAGTGATGTTTCCACAGATGGTTTCCGTAGAGTTGATACTAGCAGGAAAACACCAAGGAGGATCTCAAACATGAAGAGAAGTTAAGTGCTTTGGGAAATGGAAATTACAACAACATCAAACTACTATAACAGAGTCTGCACACGAACATGACATTAGTTATGCTGTAAAGCTAGATGATTGAGGGTGAGTGGATGAAGTGCAGGTCAGGGAGTCAGCTGGTGAGAGAACACAGCTGCGGGGACCTTACAGGGAATAAAAGATCTACCTGCTTTCACACAACAGAAGAGAAGCTGAGGGAGAGGACAGAGACTAGAAGCAGGGGGTAAATAGAAAAAGGCAGCTGACACTAGAGACAACAGGGGAGAGTGACCGAACTCTGTATGCTGTAAAGGTGTTTCAAATAGTTTTACATTATTCCTGATTCACTGACGTATACTGAGATATAACTACAGAGATTTAACCTGAGATCTGGATGTCACAGGTTCGAATGTATTTTTCAAATATAGCTCTGTTACTGGAAAGTTGGAGACTGTTTAAGTACATTTAAAAAAAAAGAGAAATAAGCAAATAGATTGAAAACTCGAAGATTTATATCTGACATCTAAAACTGCGATCTCACTCGTCATTCGAAAATCAATTTTCCTTTCCTGTTAGCTCACGGATTAGCTACTGGATTAGCAAAATTCCGAAGCAATCCGAATTAGCCACAAGGTGCGATGTAACGAGCTCTCTGATTGGTTGGACAGACACAGGCTGGCTGCCTGGATTTTTCTATGCTGCTGTTTGTGCTAAAAGCTTTGCCCTGCTAACACCTGTGTCCTTGCACAAAGGCCGTTCAGCCTCAGGATTTACACTCTGCCCGACACCGATATGTGATGAATGAGGGGACCCTGCAGTGAAACGT